ATATATATATATATATATATATATATATATATATATATATATATATATATATATATATATATATATATATAATATATATATATATATATATATATATATATATATATATATATATATATATATATATATATATATATATATATATATATATATATATATATATATATATATATATATATATATATATATATATATATATATATATATATATATATATATATATATATATATATATATATATATATATATATATATATATATATATATATATATATATATTATATATATATATATATATATATATATATATATATATATATATATATATATATATATATATATATATATATATATATATATATATATATATATATATATATATATATATATATATATATATATATATATATATATATATATATATATATATATATATATATATATATATATATATATATATATATTACATATGGTAATTAATACCATTTGCAAACAGCTTTAATTAGAGTCAATATTTGTATAATGATGTAGAGACATACCCTCATGTATCTAGTTAGTGATATAAACATTTCATCCCAAGTTGTTGAATCATGAATGTGTAATTTGCTCCAGATATGTTTTGAATGGGACAGTTTCAAAATCGTTTGGTAGTAACTGAATATTTGGAGTGAGTTATAAGATGTTTAGTGTTAAATATGCATGTTACTAAAACAAGCTATTTAAATATGCCTCAAGTTCATGTAGTTGCAATAGTTATAATGTGCATCATGTAACAAAAAACATTGAAACTGAATTTTTATATTCAATTTATCACTTTATGTTGCTCTTTCTTTATTCAAAGAAATTTTCTGTAACTTTTCAAATTAAATGGAATAGCTATTTTGTCCCATTTATATTTTTTGTTCATTAGTAAAATTTTTACCAAATTTTTAATAAGTGTGCATATCTTTCCAAAATAGGCATATTCTAACTTTTTGGAAATGCACCATATGAACTAGAAGAGAAACAGTTTTCAGTTTACCCAAAATTTGATTAATTTTTATAAATACCTTTTTATACATAATCAACCTAAAATTATCTGTCTTGTATGGTCAGAAGCACTAAAGCACTGTATGATTATTTGTTTATAGTTAAGTATTTGAATATCTATTGTGGAGACATCTATTCTTGAGGTTGGCATGAAGTCACAGTCATGTGATTTTGCCTGGTAATGTGACTGCCATCTTGACAAAGGGGCAAACAATAGTGAAGCAAGTACAGCTGTGTGTACGCAGTTTATATAGGTCTACTGTATACACGTGTTACTGCTGAAGCTGCCGTGTAAATTCTTCAATTATTGTTCATATATTATTGTTTGATAGTCAAATTATCAATTGCAATGTTATATGGAGAAGTTTTTGGCTGAGGCAACAGCGAGATATTGAGTAAAGTTACAATTAATTGGGCTTCATTCTTGTCCCTACCAGTACCCTGCCGACTCATGGATCAATGACCCATTGTGCAGTGCAATTACCTTGTATTAAAAAAATATTGGAAAACAATATTTGCATGATATAAAATGAGCTGAACACACATAGTTATAGTCAGACTTTGGTTCCCACAGCTTTCCTATTGCTTCCGTGTTCCTGTTTCAGCCACAACAATTTTCCCCTTTTCAGTAGCTTATTTTTATGGGAAAATATGCACTAAAAAGTAAACCACCAGGTTGAACAATTGTCAACAAATTGTCTTAAAACTATTCTCGGCTAGGAATAGAATCCCACAAACGCTTGCTTCATGCTTACTATAAAGGCATGTTGGAGGACTTGGTATCAAATAGAAGAAAAGTTCAGGTCTGTTGAACTTGTTATTAGAACAATTGAATATACAACTACTCTTCACCGCATCTGTAGGTTTGTAACAACAAAAGTTCTTCACAAACACAAATAGTTGATACGATTACAAGTCTGGAAAGCAGGCAAGTGTACAGAATGAATGAAATTTCCCCTTTGTCATGCTGTTTGTTTGTCTCTTTGCATCGATTGCTATGTGAATATTGCAGTGTAGGAGGGCAGAGTTCCCAGATGTCCAACCTCAAGAATCAATATATATTTCTTCTTTTCTTCAGCTTCAACATGTCTTCTTTCATCTTTTGAGAACTTGCTAATCGAACAAAATATTACACCACATTAATGTTGTTTATAAGTAAATTAAAGAGGAACGTTTCAAAAATTATTATCCTGTCAGGGTGTATTCCAGATGCTTATATGTTGTGTATATGCTTGTTCATAGTAGTGACACAGTTTTATTTGCCAAACACAAAAAAGGATGATTAAAAAGAGGGATTAATTTTTTAATTTTTTCAAATTCTACATGTAATACTTTTTGTCATGTAAGTGAAGTCCTTAAATCATGCAGTTTGTGATTGAATAATATTTTTTTTTTGTTTTCCAGATGAAAGTTTTTAAATCAGTTCCTAGACATGTAAGAAAAGTTATCGTTGCTACCAACATTGCTGAAGCATCTCTTACCATCAGTGGCATATCATATGGTAAATTTTACGTAGGAGCAAGTTAGATTTCAATGCTCTACTTTATTATATAAGGCTTAATATATTTCATAAAAGTAAATTTAATCAATATTTGTAGTTTCAAATTATTGAATGTTTCTAGTGCAGATCTTCTGTGTTGATGAACAGGGACAAAAAACTCTTTACTTACTCTTAAATGTAGAGGCACAACAAACAAAGTTCTGGAATTGTAAAGTAAACCAGATTACTTCAATTGTCTTCCAACAGTTATGAGGTACTCTAGTGGACCACTGCACTTTTTTATCTATCTGCTGATTGTTATAATGTAATCTACTCTACTGCTCTATCTGTCTTCTTACAGTACAGAATAATCAACTCTACCACTGTACTGCTCTATCTGTCTTCTTACAGTACAGAATAATCAACTCTACCACTTGATCAGATTTAACTTTTACTATTACCACAGGTTAAGAGATTTGTACAGTAGTATTCATTAAATGAGTGTCATTGGTGGCAGTTGTAAATTCACGTACAACTATAATTTTCAGTGACTTAGTTTTCATAAGTACTGTTTAAGTTACCCGGGAATGATGGTACACACCCACTTTATTTAAACAGCAGTATCATTATGTTTCATTTTCATGAAATCTGGGAAATTTGTATTGGATGATTACAAAAGTAAAGAATAAATAGAATAATTGTATCCTTTAACAAATAAAAAACTAACTAGAAATTAATCATAGTTTATGTACTGTAATAATTATTAACATCTGTAGTCCAGAATTTTATAAGGATTTTTTTTGAAACTTTTAATTTCAGTTGTTGATTGTGGATTTGTAAAATTACGATGGTACAACTCCAACACTTGTACCGACTGCTTGGTTGTTGTTCCTGTGTCCCAAGCATCAGCGGATCAACGAGCAGGACGTGCTGGGAGAGTACGTTCGGGAAAAACTTACAGGTTATATACAGGTATGTAATTTCATTTCATTTATGATAATTACCATTTTATTTAACATGTGATAATATAGAATTACACTATAGTTCAAAAGTATGGACGCAGGTGCTTTTTTTGAATTTAACCTTTTCGAGGCGGGTCACGGGTGAAAGGCCATATCATTTCGTTTGTTGACTCGCATTAAAAATTTTATTGAACTACTATTTCATGTCAGTAAGTTTTTAAAAAATGTTTGATAACTATCTCGACATTATAAATATTTCACATTTGAAATTTGAAAATTTATTGATGCATAAAAGTATTTTTAATCTTAAAATATAAATTACTTTGCATGTTGGATAGGCAACTTGCGAAAAGAAAAAAAGGAATGAGAAAAACATTGCTTAACAAACCTTAAGACTTGATATTTTGAGTATGAAAGCATTTAATGTGTACTGATAATCTGTCAAATTTCGTTAACATTCGCTTACTAATTTCAAAGTTATAGCATGTAAACTATAACAAGCACAAGATGGTTACGAAATCGGTCCAAGGGACCGAGCCTGTACTGAAAGAGTTAATCAGTTAGGTAATAGAATGCCATGAATAGTCAAAACAGCCTTAGCCCAAGTTAGGCTGTTTTGATTACTGTAATGTTTATATGAAAATATTTAGATTTTGATTACATTTGTGTGTATCCAATTCTAGAATATAATTTTTTTTTATTATAAGTGTTTTTTTTTCTTCTGCAAATTGTCACTTTCCAACTTTTGAATGTTAGTGTACTTGCAGTGAAACCTTGCCAGTAAGAACTGTTATTATAGTAGATTTACACATCATCTGTGTGTTTACGAAAGTTGAAATTTCACTGAAAGAATGATTGTTGAGAGTTTCTGTTCTTTGTTTATATATTTCAAGAAAGTTTTCTTGATTATCTATGTGTTAGACTAGCAGTGCTTTATGCTTTTCTATTTTAATGACATCTGACTGTAAGATGAGTAAACTTGGAATGATTACTTTGTGTTTTTTGTATATTGGTGTTATATAGCTATTTTGTATACATTATTGTTGATATATAAATTAATTTTTACGTCCATTGTTGCTGCATCCATTTAAATAGTGGCCCAACAGTAAGTCTGAAGGCTTATAACAATAAAAATTGGGTTTTTCTAACTTTGGTTTGCACAGTACAGATTGTTGCCCATTGTGTGGCTTTGTGCATAACAACAAACAAACAATTTAAATAATTTTATTTCTTATAAGTTTAATTTTTTACAAAATAGTTACTGAAATGATTTTTGCAGGTTTTTTTGTTTCAACTTTGTTTGCATATACTTTTCTTTTTATGGGGATAACTGTTACATTGAATTACATGTATGCTGTAAATGTTTTAATGTTTACCTTGCTGAAATATGTATAAAAATACATGCTGTTAACTACTCTGTATGTCCAATGCAGTTTTAAGACCTTACATTTTTGCTTCAGTGATATTTAAAAAGATTGTATTGCTATTACAAGTGGTTCACTAGGAATAGAAGTGGCTAGTAAAATAACATATTTTAAATGCTAGTGTGTCTGCTGGCATAGTGCTTTCAGGAGCTATTTTGTATTGGGAGATTCTGTCACTGTGGTAGTGTAAAAACTACAGGAAACTGAAAAAAATTTTCAGTATGAATGTTTATTGAATAATGTATAAAATTTTATAAGCCAATTGGATATTTATAATGTAAGTCTATTGACAACACTTTCTCTGAACTGGAAGGACCTGAAATAATGTAACAGTATCCATGTTACGTACAGTGCTCTTTCTGAAGATAAACTGACTGTAATTTATGAAGCAGGGACTTATCAATCTTTGAACAGTGATCAGTATGTTTTCTTAATCTTCCTTAGCCAGTGTAGTGATTTTAAAATCACTAGCATGTGCTGGTTGATCAAAAGTTTCAACCACAAAGTATCTCTCCACTTGAAACAAAGGAACTCGTGAATATAAAGTTTAATATAGGGCATTGCTGCATGTACTTTTGAAAACTGTGATAAGATTCATCTGCCAGTTGAGCACAAAAGAATGTCAATAATGAAAAATAGAAAATTGATCATCAAAAAAAAGCCTGCTGTGAATTAACAAACCTGTTTAATACTGTTACAAGCTTTTACACCTTGCTCCTCAAGGAATACTTTGGATTTGGAACTTGAAAGTTATCCAGAGATTGGTAATAATAGAGCAGATTCTGCTGTATTGAGTAATTGTCATTAATTGTATTTATATGTCTTCATGGAGCATTAGATCTAAGTTACTTAAATTATTTTTTTATATACTAACAACTGATAGTATTATAAAGTGCATACTTTTTGAAATGTGAATGTTTGAGATTCTGTTGGATAACAGTTTTTCAGGTTTCATATTGGAATTATAGTATGGCCATGATATGTTTATATCGTGAACTCTACATTTCTTTAAATGCTTCCATGTGTTGCGTGAGAACCTGATAATGTGAAATATAAAATATAATCCTGTGGTTTAGCCTCTATTGTGGTTGGATGTCTCTGCTACCTCATGGTTCGATTGTATGTTGGTTACATGGTGTGGGAGAGCTGTCTGTATCTGGTACATCTGCTTACTTGTTACTCTTATGCCATTTCTTGTACTGGAATTCCACACACTTTAAACACAAGGCCTAATCCAGGAAGTAGTTTAATTATTGTCTTATCAATTATTTCAAATGTCTTTTTTTATCAGGTTTGACCACATTTGTTCATTTACTTAATGTCAAATTATATATTTGTTAACTTTTGAGATTGTGTATATTTTGTAGCTTCATCTTTTGTTTAAAACAGTGTTATTTTCATGGTGTAACTCATACTTTATCTCCTTTATTTTATATCACATACTCTTTTCAAAACTGGTTTTGACATCTATATCTTTGAATATATTCTTATTATAAGAATCTGTTTTTTGTGTGAGCAACACTTTGTCTTTCTCAACACTGCAAGGTGTGTTCCTTGCCAGTTTTATCTACCTTGTTCCAGTCCTTCTTTATCTGTAGACCCACTAGCCCTGTTCCTGTACCCGAATGGGACCACAGTGTTATCCTGCAAGCTCTTACTCGTGACCTTTTCAAATCATTGGCAACTTTCAACTTGTACCACCTTTCTCTTTATACCTATTTTCTCTTACTATGCTATAGACTTTTCCTGTACTCTTTTCCATTGTTCTTACATTCTTCTTTATCCTGACTGGTCCTTCTTCCATAAGATGTCAGCCACTTAGAAAGCAGACCACTCCTTTTCCCCTACATTCTTTCCTTCTAGTTCACATCTCTATGATTAATTGGATCCAAACAGACTTTTATGTGCTGTTTGTGATGTTCATTGCTACTTAGCTCATACCTCTCACTCTTGTAGCTTCCGTCTTCAACTCTTTAGTCCCTGGGATTCCTCTTCCTCTAGGGACATACCTCCTTCTACCATTATAGGCTGGGTCTGTCAACTTCTTCTGTGCTTGATTTACTCCTCATTGAGAGTAGATGCTTGCAGACTTTTCCACATGTCATCCCATCAGTTTTGTTACCTCACTCATTCCCTCACTACTTGTTTCTGATAGCCACTGAACAAGATCCTTCAAGCTGTCATGTGAACTACACCTCATATCTTCATTATCCACTATCTTCGTCACCAGGCAGTCTCATTTCCTGTAGGTTCCACCTGCCTCCATTCATCATCTTATAGTCTATTCAGACAGATGAGTAAATTTCCTTTTACTTCTTACAGCATTTGCTTATAGGATCTTGCAAGGTGGCTGATGATGTCTCCCAAAGTATACTTCTTTCACAAAATTCTGATTCAAGCCAGGATAATGTAAAGCACTCATACCATCAGCCTTGGCTCCATGTATGCACACTGTTGAGATGGGATGTTCTGCAAGACCACTTGAGATATCCTTGTTGTGTGTTTATGCATCTGACTACTGTTTGATCCATACCATACCTATTCCATGGACTCACATGGAAAAACCCAGCACCAGGAGGTGCTCTGCCTGCTTTCCTGATTCATGCTTTCTGGCTTATGAAAAGATGGAGATGTGGTCACCCTTTGAACTGTCTCCAGTAAAAGACCTTTCTGGCTCAAACAGGACTAATGGGGATCTTGGCATTTTCTCCAGGTCTCCCCACTGTGGATTCCTCCTCCTTTCTCTTTGAGTGGAGCATGAGAAATCCTTACCACCTACCGGTTTCTAGCTCCTGGGGTAGTGGACCATGGAGAATTCTCACTGATTGGGACTTAACCGCTGGATGTAGAACAAGGGGTTCCAGTCAGTGGGAAGTGGGGTGGTGGTGACATTGTCAGTATAGTGTTGGTTCACTCCTCATATAACTATACTTAACAACATGCTACATGTGCCCTCTTCCTGCGGCTTGAGTCTGTATAGCAAAGTTGAGGTGAGCACTTCATACAATAGTGTGTCCTCCTCCTGCAGCTTGCATCTGTCCAATAGAGTTGAGACTAGCACATTACAGGATCAATGCCCTCCTCCTGCAGCCTGCAACTGTTTAATAAAGTCAAGATGAGCATGCTCCACTATACAGTTGTGGACATCACCTGTCTAGTTAAATGAGGTGAGCACACACTAATAAACTGTGCCTAGGACCTACATTTGTTGTCAGTTCAGTAGAATCAAGGTGAGCACACTATACAATTGTACCTTCCTCTTGTGGACATCACCTGTCCAGTTAAGTGAGGTGAGCACACACTAATAAACTGTGCCTTCCTCCTGCAGTCATCTCCTGTTCAGTTGAATTGAGATGAGCATGCACTAACAAACTGTTCCCTCCTTCAGTTGAGTCGAGGCACACACACACTACATCATGAATCTGTTCTCTCATCTTACACCAGGTGTTAGTGTGATGGTAGAGTTGAGGTGAGCACAAGGTATGGTCTGAATGTATCCCAACCATGTTACACATATTGGCTCTCTGATCTCTTTTGTACACGTACTTGGATGGCCATATTCTTATTCTGCCCATCCCTTTAATATGTTTGTCTCTTTCTCCTTTTTCCTGTCAGAACAGTAAACCCTGGAAAGGACGAGATGCATGCAGTCTCCCATAGATGTGCCCCTATGGAGCCCCTGCCACTGGGTGTCACACACCATGGGTTTCCTTCGGGTGCTTTCTGATGGGAATGCATCTAAGTAAATCTTTGCATTGGCTCCATTACCATTTCAATGTGGAATTCTAGCTTAATTGTGTGCAGAGTTGTATATCATCTTGGAAGCTAACATTTTTCTTACCTGAAAATTTATCTTCAGTACATACTCACCTCTAGCGCATTGGTGTTCTTTGCCCCATAAAAGAATGAAGGTTCATGAGTGCAAAAGCATGGAGAGAGTTAGTGCACAAGAAGGTGTATTGCCTTCCTATTAGTGAAGGGTTTTTTGCTGCATAATAACATCATTATGCAGTTGTACAATTTATGAGAAATGTCATGAAATTAGGTGGGAGATGCCTAAAGGCTAGTGGCATGCAAATATTTAAGGTAGATGCACAGGGAAGATAGTTTAATGGTGTGTATTGGAAATACATTTTCAAGTAAGGAAAATTATAACATCAGTCTGAAACAGACTGTGACAAGTCGGAATGTAAGGTGATGCTTACGTGAAGAGTGAAAACATTTTTTTTCCATCATACAGTTTGAATGTTGCATTTGTATCATATCTAAACTCTTTAAAATTCATGTCTGCAGTTTCTCCCAGTATCTGGTTTTTTACTCTCTACAAATTGTTGCTAAATCACCAATGTAGATTAAAAGGATTAGTTGATAAATCTGACATCAAATACATAATATCATGTTAAATGGCACTCTGTAAAAGGGCATGGCATATGTACTTAGAATCTCCCCCCTGTGCACATAAGGTTAAACAGTTTTGTTATATTTTCCTGAAGGTTATCATGACACACACAAGCTTGAGGAAATAGTTTTAAGATATAGATCATGAACTTTAGGAATACAATAACTAGGAGGTATACACCTACTCTGATGTATTATTTATAATTTTGTCTTTGAAATTATACAGTGCATTTTTATGTATGAGATTGTGTTTTTCAATATGACAATATCAGATAATATATTTTTCTGTATATTGGTGATGTATGAGCTAAATATCAAAAGTATGTACTCTGACAAACTTATCTGCATATCAGTTCAAATATAAGTACATGAAAAAAATTATTACTCCTTTGGGATATATGATATGGCTTAGTAAAAAACACTGCTCATTTTCTGGTTAAAAGTTACTAAATTTGAAAAAATAAAAGACTACTGCAATGTTATTTGCACATAACCTTAAAAAAGTGTTATACACGTATGTGTCTTTTTTTCTCTCCAACAAACAGAAGAAGACTTCCTAAAACTACCTGCCCAAACCTGTCCTGAGATTCAGCGTAGCAGCCTTGCATCTGTTATTTTACAACTCAAAACTCTTGGAATAGAAAATATTCTAAGATTTAATTTCCCTGCTGTAAGTTATTTTATTAATTTAGTTTTCTGTAGTATGTATATAGAGTTTAGATTTTTAAATGTGTTTTCACTTACAATTATGTAAAATGCTTTATCTTTTCCTCAGGTCACTTTTCAAGCCAACTTAATGCTGTATCACATCTCATTGATTTACATTCAAAGAATAGACTCTAAAAATAATTCTTACATCAACTTGTAGCCCAGTGATGTCATACAATTTTGTTTTTTCACTTCATAGGATCCTTTTTTGGGTGTTCTGTATCTTGTCAAGATATACTAAAACAAATTAGTTCTGCACTTCTGATATATTTTAGGAACATTTATCTTAATTTTACATTTATGTTTAGTTTTTTGTCTTCCTTATTTTCCTGAGCACAATTTACAATTTTAACAATTGGCTGATTGTTCTCCATATCTAAAACATTTTTTTACTGAGATACATCATATGCCCTTTGAATGAAGTAATACAGTATGACTGGTCAAATCTTCCAATTATATATTGGATTCAAAGCAGCAGTTACCTAGGAGTTTTAAAAATTGACACAATAAGCTTTAATTTTCTTTTCTAGACACAAGTTGCCCCGAGGTAGAGCTCTGGGTTATGATGCTGATTTCAAGTCCAGTGTGATACCACAAAAATATTCGTCACACTTTAAGCCATGGGTGTATTACACTATTGACAGTCAGTTCTTTAGCATAAGTTGTTAGATGCTGACTTCTCTCTGGTCAGGAGTTTGAAGTTATGGATGGTGGCAGATGTCCTTAATAGCTTTACCACGCCCATGTAACCATGAAAGTATACGTACTATACTATGAAAGTACTTAATGTAGCTTCACAAAATTTGGCAAGCTTTCATTAAGCGTTATAAGTCTATTGTAAACAAAAATCAGAATTTTTAATTATGTACTTTTACTAAAACTTTCTCTGTAAATATACAGAGTCACAGTGTTGACTGCTCCAAGTGCAAAGTGATTTTCATGTTAAGATTAAAAATACTTTTCTTCATTTGAGAATTTTCAAATTTCATTTGCATTATCTTTAAAAAATTCCTTAATGCATATGATTTTTTTTTTCTCAGAAAAACTTTCTATGTTTTATCTGTTAGTTTCTCTATGACCTGGCATGGCCAGGTGGTTAGGGTGCTTGACTTGCAATCTGAGGGTGACAGGCTCAAATCCCCATCCCACCAAACATGCTCGCCCTTTTAGCCATGGAAGTGTTATAATGTAACAGTCAATCCAACTATTGGTTGGTAAAAGAGTAACCCAAGAGTTGGCAGTGGGTGATGATGACTAGCTGCCTTCCCTTTAGTATTTCACTGCTAAATTAGGAATGGCTACTGCATTAACTCTTGTGTATCTGTGCACAAAATTCCAACCAAACCTCTTTTTCTACCATAACTCTATATGGGATTGGTAAAATTGACTGACCTTGTAACCACCATATAAAATTAGGGAATAAACTTAAATTACCCTTTTTGTAGAATGATTGCAAACTGTAACGGGAAACCACAATTGTTTATCCTAAATAGTTTAAAGCTCATAACAGTATACATCTATTCATACATAATTTTATTGTTTTATTGCCCATTGAACCACGTCTAGCTAATAATCCCACCACACAAGTTGTAAATCACTTGGTGAACATGCAGCTCATATGAACATAATGAATTATGTAATGCAGGAATTGCTCACAAGCATACGTTGTGAAGAATATATATTACTATTATTTCTTCATTACCTTATGTAACTCAGTTGTTTTTTTTACATTTTAATCACTTTTATAATAATAAGTAAGGAATACACATGAAAAAACAAGAAATATAATACTTACCTGGACCTTTTTTTTTGTCAATTGTCGATGAAATTTAAGCCTACGTTTTGCACAAATGATACTACTACATAAATGATTTTTTGTTTAATTAAATAATGCACTTAATAACAGAGGATATTGATATACAAAAAGAAAACAATGTCTTATAACTATAATAATTTTTTTGGCTTTCTAATTAGGTGTTAAGAGCAGTTAAAATTTCAGTCAAGCTCATTGATGTAATTTCTGTCAGAAAAAATTTGAAACTGAACAACAAAATAGACAATGCCCTGTATAGAAAACAATGTAATACAATACATCATTTCACAGATTAAACCTTTGGCTTTTATTAGCAATTTGTGAAAGAGAAGATGTGACAGGTGGGTGTGACAAAGTAGGTCTTATTTTCTAATTTATAGCTCCATAAATAAATAAGATTGAAGGATATAAAAATTATGCTTTGCTTTAGTAATATCTGTGTTATAATGAGTAATTTATGTAAGGTAAGATTTTATTCTTCTCTGAGGGGTGGTAAATGTATCTTATTCAATACGGGGTCAGTCTGTGTGACAACCTCCTAACCATTTTGTGTTTGTTATAATTTTCATGCTATAACTTTTAAATTAGTAAGTGAATGTTAACAAAATTTGGCAGTTTATCAGTAAACATTACAATACTTTCACATGCAAAATATCTAATTTTTTTTGTTAAGTCATAAGGTTTGTAATGCAATGTTTCTTTCATGCCTTTTTTTCTTTTCACATCTTGTCCATCTATCATGTAAAGTAATATTCATTTTAAGATTAAAAATACTTTTATGCATAACAAAATTTTTATATTTCTTGTGCGAAATCTCTATAATGTCTGGATAGTTATTAAATGTTTCTTAAGGAAAACTTTGTATTTTATCTGTTATTTTCACTAATTAATCTCTGTACGGGTTTGTTAGATTTGAACAATCTCGCAACCACCATAAAAAATTAGGAAATAAACAAAAATTATGCCTCTTTCATTCTGGAATGAACACAAATTATAACACAAAAACATAAAGTTTTGTACAAAATAGCTAAAATCTCATAACATTATACATTTATATATATATATATTTATTTATTTATTATTTTTATTATATTGTTCTTTCACCTGTGCCTGGCTAACAATACAGAAATTGCAATGACGCGGCTTACGTGCACTCATGTTACGTATCAAATAACATAAAATTTACCTTTGGTTTGTACAGAGTAACTTATCTTGGCTGTGTTTTAGTTGACTAATATTTTGTAAAATATGGTCACATTTCAGTTATTATAGCCCCCCAGTGGCACAGTGGTATGTCTGTGGTGGGCAGAGCACAGATAGCCCATTGGGTAGCTTTGTGCTTAATTACAAACAAACAATCAATTATTATACATTATATACATATATATATATATATAGATTATTGCTATTTTGAAATAAGTTCTTAAACATATTTTACCTAAAACATAGAAGAGTAAATAAAGAATAAATTCAAACAATTATCTCTTCTAGTTATGACCTTTGTACTTGGTTGCTGCTTGACATTGGTTGCTAAGCCTTTAAACATTTTGCACGTGGAGGATATGAAACAAAATATTTTTTTTTAGATTTTTATTGATACATTTCAATAACTAAAAAATCATAAATTACTACATCAATATCATAGAATTCAATTGTAATTTATCAAGCTTAGTAACTAAGATTTATTTTACTCTAACAAAATATGAAATTTTGAGCAAACTAAAGACACAACCTACTTCATTGAAATCTTGGTTCAAAAGAAAAAAATGGCACTAGTCATATTAGAAAGGCTGAGAAAACCACTAGGGGACATTCTTAGTATCCGATTAGTTACTCATGTCATATATAGAAGTAAGTGTATATAAGGGAGCGTTTCCAAAAATGGAAAGAGGTGGATGGAGTGCTATGTGTTTAATTTATTACTTGAGCAATATCTTGGCAAATAGAAAAGATAAGAGACTCCTATTTTATATTTTAGCTTGCCAATATCTGTAAATTTAGTTTCTAATTTGTGTGAAACTGTAGACTTAGTATTTTGACTTCACAAACATCTAATTTGAACCAGTGCTGCATTCAACATACCACGTAACATACAAAAATTGATGTTTAGCTTTTTTGAAATATTTACTTTTAAATTAAGAAAATGAGTAATGTATAGCTCTAAAATTTAAATTATAATCTACAGTTTGATACCAAACTTAGTGACATAAA